TGGATGGCAGTATGTGTGCAAGATTCAACGTTGGTGCTTCTTGACTTCAGTCATCCTTTACTCTGACTTCAAAGAGAGTTCGGAGAAAACTTCCCTTCCCTTCCCCCCCCCCCCCCCCCAACAAAAATAGGCAAAAGAAAACAGGAATATGTATTTTTTTCAAATAATATTTCTTTTTCAGAAGATATTCTCAAGTGCATTTGCAAATGCCAGTAGAAAAATAATTCCCAGAAGATGCATTTATGTGATAGGGAAGAAGAGTTTAGGATTTTTTGCTGCTTCTTTCAAAAGTTGCCTACTCTTTCTCATTGCTATATAAATACAACTTCCACTATTGTTCAGTAGAAGAAAAAATGAAAAAAAAAAAAAAAAAAAAAATGGAATGCTGTACTCCTGCAGAAGCTGAACCCCTTGGATTAGTTGTACTTTGAGTTCTGCTCCAAGGGCAGGATTGCTTTGAGAAAGCTACTTATCTATCTATCTGCATGCATGGGACAGAAAAATCATTGTGTCTTTTTAAAAGCATGCTCATTATTTAGTGAGGTGGGTTATAGGCTGGATTATTGGGTGCAGAAAGAAAAAAAAAACATCAGGCAAAAAGGAGATAGGAAGTGATCTCAAATTCTCTTGCCTGAAATGGTCTGCTTTGCACAAGCTTTTGTGATAGGAAAACACTTTTAAATCATCTGAAAAAAGCAGTCTCCTGTATCTGGGAGCACCAAAAAGATGTGGAGAAAGCAGAAGGGAAAAGGTCATCTGTGCTGGATTGTCCGAGTGGCTGATAGAGAGTAGTGGTCCATTCTACATTGTCATTTTAGACCAAAAAAGAGGAAGAGAAGGAAATAGGGAAGGGAAAGAAAGAACCCCTCGCTTACACATTTTGAATTTTTTTTAATCTGTTAATGAATTCCTCCCATGATTTTCCATTGGTCATGCATAATTTCCCCTGCAGGGGAATGGGCCTCTGTGTAAGGTTGGGAAATAAAAGAAAGAAGGGAAAAATTGACCGTTTCTTTTTTCTTGCTAGTAAATGCTCTGGGAACAGAGAGAGGTTCCTCTGGGAGTTGCAATTACTCCCCATGGACGTTGGAAATGCAGCTCTAGTCTGACTGATGGCAAAACTTAGTTTTCTGCCAGTAGTGCCTTCTCTATAAATAGTGCAGCAGAGAAAAAAAAAGATGAAGTATTGCTTTGGGTTTCTTCTAGGAAAGAGATGTTTCCATGGCTGCAGCTTGGTACCTTAGGAATACTGGAAATATTCATCCCAGCGCCGTGCTGTGGCCATATTTCATGGAACTGAAGTTGGTAAAATCTTGTGAATATTTGGGATTGGAAGTTAAGGAGTAAAAACTGATTTCTTACCTAAAACTTATTTTTAAAGTCTTCATATGGCACAACATGGTTAAAGAAAGCTCTAAGTAAAGTAAAATATTCAAGATTATATGCTCCAGGTTGTAATAGTTTTGTTGATTTTTAAAGGTCACTGCCTGTCTGTGAACAAGAATTGTATTATGAAATATTATCTGAAGAATCCTTCTATTAATGTGTTCTAAACCAAAGCTGCTTTTCTCTGAGTTAAAGGTTTGCAGTATATTGGCAGCCTTAGATAATTTGGAGTTTTGATCTCTGTTCTGTGCTGTAGAACTTAGGTAATTGTGCACAGGTTGCAGTCTATTTGCAGTTTTGCTTGGATCTGAGAATCATTTATATGTAAATGATGCTGATCTCTTGTTCTGCCCCTTCTAACCAATTAACTTGGTTTTAAAGCACACAGTTCTGTGAGCAAAATGAGCAACTGGCAGGGCTTCTGCAGCTTGGTGGTGATGGTGGTCATATTCACTGGGGCTCATTTCCAAATCCAGCAACGGAATGATCAGAACTTCGAGCTGAACTCAGTGCCGTCCTTGTCTCTCACTGTATTTTGGCCATGTCAGGTCAGCTCTTTTATGCCTTCCTATAATTTATGCTACATAAATGGCAGAGCTGTGATTTTTAAGACCAGCGAAAAAGCCCAGTATTACGAGAAAAAAGACAGAAGAACAAGCCCTCCAAGAAATTTTGGCAGCGATGCTAAGGGGTTTTGAAGGACAAAATATTTTACTTATTTATTTATTGAAAGGAAAACACTAATAAGTCCTTCACATGTAACTGATACAAGAAGCTTGGCAGAGCTATTCCAAAGCCATCCTGCTGCAACATGCTCCGTGATAGTCAGTGGAAATTCAAAAATGCAGTACCCCTGCAAGCAGGTTGAGGGGAGCTCCTGGGTGCTCACTCATCGTGCTTGTAGAATCATTAAGGGTGGAAAGACCTCTAAGATCATCTAGTCCAACCATCAATCCATTGCCACAATACCACTAAACTGTGTCCCTCAATGCTACATCTCCACATTTCTTGAATACCTTCAGGGATGGTGAGTGCACCACCTTCCTGGGCAGTTTGTTCCAGTGAATCACCACTCTTTCTGACAAGAAATGTTTCTTAATATCCAACCTGAGCCTCCCCTCACACAGATTAAGGCCATTACCTCTTGCCCTGTGCTGCCTCTTTGTGGTCTGAACTGAACTCCGTACAATTCATTTTTAGGACTTCTGTTGTTTCTTAAGCTTCAACTAATCTTTCTTTTGCGTTGCCCACTCAAGGTCCATAGGCTTCCATATGCCTATATGCTTCCATATCGAGTTTCCATCGGCTTTCAAATGGCTGTAGAAATTATTTCAAGGCTAATTTACAGCATCTGCTGTTTCTATTTGATACTTCTGCACCTGTAGCACATGATGTAGCTCGTTTTGCAAATGGAAAATACCTTGTTATTACGTGACTAAGTGGCTGAATTGCTGCACGTTGTGATTTATCAAACTAATCATTGTTATGAAGAAATGAAGTATATACTCCTGGCAAGGCCTGCTGTAATAAAACCAGATAAGTTTTTGCTGAAGTTCTCTACAAATTTTGATCCTCTCTGTAATGTCAGATGGAAATTGTGTGCTGCTTGGTGATCCTGCACAGCTTTGAGCAGAAACTAGAAGAAATCTGTCAATGTCTGCAGGGTTTTACTTTGTGTTTTTTGGAATTCATTCAAACCCGGTAGAAAGGAGGTGGTAGGAGAAAGCTGAAAATTTTGATGAACGAGCTTTGTGGCTGCTGAAATGTCAACATTTCCCAAAACCTTGAGCAAGCCGTGTGCACGTATATGCACGCATGTGCACAAACCACAGCCTCCTGTGCTGACAGGCACAAGTCTACTGCCAGGGCCCGTAACCCAAGTCAGGCCAATCCCACATGACCACAGCTAACCTGAAAGTGAAGAACAAGGAATTGGTGTGCAGGCATCCGATGTGCTGCTATGGCAGCACAAAAGGAGCAGCACTAAAGCCCATGGTGTGGGAGTCCAGGAATTGGATCGGGTTCCTTAACATGTGTCCTCATCTTCAGCTGACTTAGTGCCTACAGCACTACCAGTTGCCTTTTTGGAGGCTGGGCAAGAAGATAATATCATTTTCCAAAACAATCACAGAGCTGGAATTTTTAAATTGAATGCTTTCTTGAGCAACAATACTGGTCCATCAGAAAATTACTTTTATTATGCTTCTGACTTAGAGTCTGTGTAGAGAATTTCTCGGAGTTGGACTGAAACTACAACCAGAGCAAGCGTGTGCTTCAGCTGCCACATTATTGATTGTCCTGGGGCAGAAGAACTGGTCTTTGCACAGGCAAATTACTTAAATCACACAGAAAAAGAAATACTTTCACATGGAAAAATTCCTGTTCTACACTAGAGGCAAGCATCTCCATGCTTTAAATAGGTTGACTTGAACGAACATTTACCTGAACTCCAGTGACAGCAATATCATTATACATTAATAACTAATATGGCATTAATAGTGAGCATGGTCTGCTTCATCAGAGCTAAAAGAAAAGGTCTCTGCTCTCGGGAGCTCGCACACTGAGCCTGCTCACACAGCTGAGTAGCTGGGGGGTTGGTGCTCAGGGCAAAAGGGTGATTCTCGCATTTAATTTTAATTTCTGGCTAGGCTGGCATTCACACATGGCTGTCTTTAATATAAAAACTCAGATTCCTTTTACTGGATGTGAAACGACTTGTGTCACTGAGAGACTTTTGGCTGCAGGGAGAGATGGGATATTAAGAAGCTGTTGTGGCATGGAAATTTGAGGGGGACTGGTATTAGACAAGGAGGATTGCTATCCATAGGTTCTCCTTTGACTTGCTGTGCCTATACTGCTGGGGAGATTGGTGGGACAGTTGTGAAAGTCTAGTATTTGGTGGGAGTAGAAGTGTTATGTTAAGAGAAGCAGGAGGACACTTATCTCTGGGAGATGGGAGAAGCAACATCCTATATGAGCTGGGTATGGGGGCACATGGTAGGACAATTGGAGGGAGCCTGACTTCGTTTTCCCACCTGAAGTTTCAGGGCAAGAGATGAAGAAGTCCATGCAAATCTGCAACCAGTGTCAAGGACCTTGGTCTAATTAGGAGACAAAATCTTCAGCGTTTACCACACTTAGCACAGCTGTGGAAGGGTGCAGGATAAGTTTCAAAAGACATTTCAAAAGCAAGTTTTCCACCTCTTGCTGCTGGATGCCCAGCCTGTTTAAATGAAATAGCCTCTGAGGATTACACCCCTGAGGATGTGGCTGGGTTACTGTGTGCCTTTGTGCTGCCACACAGCCTGCTGCTTGAGGGGCTGAGCACAGTGTCAGGACTGGGCAGCAAAGCATGAGGGAGAAAATGAGCAACTTACTCCAGAGAGTGTCCTGTGTTCATCCTTCCTTCTGCTGCCATTCTTCATATTTTAGGAGCTGGGAGTCAGTACTCCCCGATATACTTCCCTAGCTGTGTTCCTCTTAAAGGCAGCAAGCACTGCTCTAATTGTAACTCCTGCTATAGCCAGTAGGCCACTCTGGATGGGTCGAAGCTTGGGTGCACACAGTCTCCCTTTTCTCCTCCCTGTCTTTAATTTGCTCTGGTTCTGTTTCAGGGGTATCAACATCAGGGGCACTGGGCCCGGTGAGCACCACTGCCAGCACCACACCACGAATGGCCACCAGCAGCACTGGCCGCCCCACCACCACCTCAGCTTTGGGTAGGAGGAACAGGAGCACCAGCATGCCCTCACCCATGGCTGATGTTCCTGATGAGATGACCACGCACCTCCCACCCGCCTCCTCCCAGCTGCCCCCAGCTGGTGCCGAGAGCTGCGACCCTATGGAAGCCCGTGATATTATGTGGTCTCGGACCCGGCAGGGACAAATGGCAAAGCAACCGTGTCCCATGGGCTCGATAGGTGAGTGAAGGGTTAAGGGGACACAGCGAGCCATCTGCATTTGTCTGTAGGATACTGCAAGTGTGAGATCAAGTTGGCTCTGGGCTCCTGTGGCATACATTCAACAATGAAGTACGTTGCTGCCCTTTGTCAGCTCTGTGTTACTTTGGTGGATTATGGCCTGACCAAAGCCTCCATTTGCTAAGCACATTGCACAGGATCCTTGTCATTCCAGGCTCTCACTGAAGGAGAGATGAAGCTAACAAGTTGAGCATGATGCACTCTAGGAAATCTTGTGTCCATAAGCTGTATGTACTGTACCTTTTTTCCCTGCTCTGCCTGTATTTGTATCCTCTGAACTCACTGACTGATACGTTGATGGCTGACACTTCATTTGTTTGGAGAAGAAGAAAAACAACAAAGCATATATTTTACCAAAACTCTGTACCTCACTGTTTGCATTCCAAAGGTTATGGCTACCCTTTCTGAGCTATTCCCTGACTGGACTCCTCAACCAACGTGAATGATTTTTCCAAACAGCCAGTATCTGGTGCCATCAGCAGGGAAAGCAGAGTGGCAACAAAGCCAAATCTTTCAAAATGCTTTACAGCTTGTTGCATCTTGCTTCTTTTCTTCTACTCTCCTGTCAGTTGTTTTCTCCCAAAAGTTTGCTTTTGGAAATTTTCTGTCCACATCAGAACACAGTTGACTGAACAATGGGCTTTGGCACATGGTTTTAATTTACCCTATTTTAACAAATGCTGTTTTCAAAAAGAACTTATTTTTCAAGCTAGTCTTGGTGTCATGCCCCGAAAACTTGCTTGCCAGGAAGAAATCGGAAGATGGAGGAAATTGCCTGAAAATAAGGGCTGGAGGGATCTGGCTTGCAGAGGAGACTATTAATTCTCCACTCCACTGCCCTGGAGAGCCATTCACACCTGTGTATTCAAATTCTGACTCTCTCTTGAATTCAGTGAGATCAGGGTGATAAAATGTACCTCAAATATAAGAGGCATAGAAAGACGTCAGTGGTGAGAGTAGGTAAAGAATGTTTTTACTCAGCCCTGCTTGGTAAAAAGGTATCGTGTGGTTCCCAGAGAGAGGAAGAGGTAGTCTGAACTGAAACTGCAAGAAGGGAAAATGATAGAAAGGGAAAATGAAGGTTGGATGCAGAGAGCTGTTTTCTGAGCAGAAGAACAAAGGACTGCACGAAAATAGCTAAGAAAATAAAAAAGAACAGACCCAGCTTGTTGACGGTTTGGAGTAGGCAATAAGCCTTTCTGATCTCTGTTTTCAGTGATTCATGTCATTTGTTAAAAGCTGTGGTACGTTAGCAGTGGGCCTCTTCCCACTCCCTGTGAAGGCATCAGCAAACCCTCACTGGTTTTAATCGGCACTGCCATCAGACCTAGTATGTAATTCACTCCCCTGTTGAAAAGTTTGGCTCTGCAGGGCAGAGCGCTTTACAGGATGCAGAGTCTTTCATCTGTGTACTGGCTTTCTGCTTTCTTGTTTTTTAGAAGTCTTTAACTGCACCATTTTGGATGTGTTTCTCTTTCTCCCGAAACTCTTTACTGTCTTTTGCAGCTGGGATCTGAGAGGCTCATGCCAGACAAAACTCTCCTCTAATGTCTGTCTTGATGGTCAGGGATGGATGATAAAACTCAGCATTAATCTTAGCATTTATAGCACTTAAAGTTTTTTATTTTTTCCACCCAAATGGTTTAATGAAGATCCAGAGCACTAAAATATTCATAAAACATCAGGGGACAAGGAAGTAGAAGCTTATGATCTGATCCTGAGACATTAGTGGTGGGGCAGGGCAGGCAAAATGGCTAGGCCAGCACTTGGGGTACTGGCTCAGTGATTGAGATCCAGCTTCACTTTCTTACTGCCTGGGAACTTATCCTGCCTGACCTGAAGCAAAGCCCTCTGTCCATAGTCTTTATCTGATGAAGTCAAGTATGTGATCAGTAACACTGAACACAGTGGCTTTCCTTTTCCAGGTGTTGCAACTTTCCGGTGTCTTGCACCAGATGGAATCTGGGAGCCCCAGGGACCAGATCTCAGCAACTGCTCTTCTCCCTGGATCAACCACATCACTCAGAAGGTAAAACCTTCCCCATCCAAGTCTGTGTGCAGTTCTTGTTTGTGGCGAGGAGAGGGAGGAGGAGGTGGTGGGTGGGCATATGAAAATGCCAACTTATTGCAAAAGGAAACTTTCCTCTGCAGGCATCCCCAAGGATTTTCTCCTTCCATGCAGTGCAGGATAAATCCTGTAGCTGAGAAATCTGTACAGGCAGAAAGAAAGGCAAGCTCAGTATGAAATGTTTGCATTGTGCTACTGACTTTTTGTTCTTTTTTCCCAATTGTAAAAGGACTAGTAGAATAGAAAATAACACTGCAGTAATGTGTTACTTTTTACTCCTAAGTCCCTTGATGAATGTTTTGTAGCACTTCATCATTTATCACTGTTAAAAGTGCATTAACATGTGACAATGGAAGTTCAAGACAAGCAGAGCTTATTTGGTAGCAATATGTTGAACATTTTTGTTATTAATGCACAGTGGTGCTTTCAGCTGATTTCATTACAAACAGAGACCAGATGTGTGTTTACGCCACAGAGTCTGTGGGCTGAATCCTTATTATAGCAATTTGTGTGGATTTATTTGCTCCTTTAGCAGGAGCAAGAAAATCCCAGTGTTGCAGGCTAGCTGCGCTGCAGCACAGTAGCAGCACTGCACTCCAGGAGCACTTGTGCTCACTGGTGAACAAGTGACCTTACAGATGAGCCCGTCTTTCTCCTCCCCATCTCCTATCTTAGCTGAGGCTCAACAACCTGTGAATAACTAGCGTTGACACCCCCAGTCAATCCCATCCCACTTCGTCTGTATTTATACCCATGCCTCCCCAAAACGAGGGAAAGACATAAATTAAGGCAAAGCTACAGTGACACAGAACAGCTGTTAGGAAGCCCCTGGTACTTCCTGGTGCTTTTGTCCCGCACAGGAGAGTGGGCAGCTCTCCTGCCACATGCTCAGGCTAGCTGATTAATAAAGACTGCCTTTGCTGCCATTAGCAGCTGTGCAGTTCTTGTTTTATGACCCACGTACTTATCCTGGAGGGGTTAATATTGCTTACTCCAGTCATAATTCACCCTGGCGGCTGGGAGACCTCTTGCTGCGCAGTGAAGATGGCTAGGCCATTAGCCATTAGCAGAGGGAAATAATAGCCTGCACTGATGAAATTTCCATCAAGGTTAGGCTTACTTTATTTGAAACCACAGCTATCATTTGCGTAACAAATGAGCCCCATTTAATTTGTTATGCGCTTTCAAAGCAGGCTAAAATTGAAGAGCCAGGTTTTCAGAGATGCCCAGCCCAGCAGGCCACAACTTGGGACTGGTTTTTTTGTTGTTGTTTTTTTTTTTAGCAGGGGAGTGGAGTGGAGGAGGAAGAAAGTGTTTTTTTTCCGGAGGAATTTAGCTATGTTCAACTTTAGAGACCTTTCACAAGTTGGTGGGAAGACAAGGGGTGTCTGACAGACTGTTCTGCATCTAACCTTTTTGTGCCTGAGTGGCTGGGATCTTGAGACCATGTGGCCTAACCACTATGGAAAGCTGGATTTCAAATTACTTGTGAAATAGCCAATGGCCACGCGTATCCCTGCTTGAGTGAGGAGCTTTAAATCACAGTTGTGCTTAGAGTCAGGTTTCACACTTCCCCACTATGGGCAAGATACCACTGCCCTGAACGTGCTCCTTTGGTTCTCTAAAGCTGATAAAGGAGCCTTCTTCCGCCAGGGCAAAGCCAGCTCCCCTTCTGGATCCTGTGAGGCCAGCTGGAGGAAGCAGTAAGCCAGCCATGCAATGGAGGTAGGGTATGTCTGTCACCTGCAGCTGAGCTCTCCTTTGTCCCCAGCTCTCAGATCCTCCCTGGTCACCCATCCCACTGCCTCTGTAGTCGAAGCACTGCATACAAAATGAGTAGAAACACTTAGGCAGTCAAGATTTATACGTACCCACTGTGTCTCCATTCTTGTCTGCTGTATGCCTCAGAAATTCTTACTGCAACCTGCTGGGTCCAAACTGCTCAGGAAGAAGGATGATGGGATTCACTTTCAGCCAAACCGGAATGAATGGCAGGGGAATGCCATACTTGCTTTCATGTATCTATAGTGAAGTAAGGATTGTTACTTGCTTCTTTTCTTTTTCCTGCTGTGCTCAGACTGTACATTGGGTTTTTGCCTGCTTGCATCATAGTATTAGGTTTTACAACTCTCTGTTAGCTTCCATTAGAGTTATTGTGCTTGATGGAAGATCAGAACAAATGTCCGCTTCAGCAATTCATTGCCCCCTTGACATTTACGTTAACTTTATTGTTGGTGCCTACCATGCCCTCGTAACATAGCAGGAGAATAAACTTGCCAGCACTATTGAATTATGCACTGCTGTGTGGGTTATTTCTAGACTGAAGCAGTAAAAGGAAGCAAAAAGGTCAGCTTTGGATACATTGCATCGTTCTAATCATGAGGTCATACGTTCAGCCGTAGCCTGTTTGTTTTACCTCTTGCTTTCATCAGTACTGGCCTTTGCGCAGTATGTGATATGCCTGAAAATGTCTTTTCCTTGCTGCAGCTTTCAGTTGAGGGTGATTCGTGTGGGAGAGAGGCCCCACTAGGCTCAATTTTGAGGCTCTGAAAGAGAGAATAACCTCTCCGGTAGAATAAAAAGTGTTACATCCTCCAGGAGTATCCAGGTGAAGGCAAAGTCCTAACGATACCGCAGTGCAATTCTACATCCAGATTGCTTCTGCCAGTTTGTGTTCAGTGCATTATAGTGTACTTGAAGCAGCAGATGCTGCAGCTGGCAGATTAGTAATGGGATGTTAAATGCAGATTCCTGAAAGTTGTTTGAATATAGTTTCAAATACAGTTTTTCACTGTTCTCTAGATCTGTTGTGCTCTGGAGAGAACAGCCATACACCTCTTTGTCGGACAGCCAGCATTTGTAACGTGTCAGTTATATCCTTAGGTATCATCCAAGAAAAGGAAAAAAGCAAAGTTGAGTGGAACGGCATTTTCTTTTTCAGAAGAAGAGTGGTAGATGAGCTCTGACTGTATTGCATGAATGAGCATGTGCATGTTGAAATCTCTGCTAGGGAAACAAAATGGCCACGAAGTCTTTGCAGTATTGAAAGCTGTCCTATAGCCCCATGCTAGCAGCTGGTGGTGCCCGATGAGACCTGTCAGATGTTTTTCCCTTCAGAAAATGACATCAGCTCTGTGGTCGTTGGAGCTGTGAGCCACTGGTTTAAAAATCCTCATTCAGACTTTCATACCATCCTTTTATATCACTTTTAGCCCCAGGCTGCAGGAAAATATTTTTGGCACTGAAGTTTCGTCACACTTGCTGTCTTCCCAGCATCTTTTTCCTCTGAATTTTTCTTTCATAAATTGTTCTTTGCCGTTTCCCCCATTTTTATTCTATTGACCTCTTCTACAGTTGATTGCCTCTGAGAAAGATAGGAATGAAGCAGCAAACATGCTACAGGAGAGTTGTTAGTCTTTCCAAACAAAACTCTATAATTCATAGAATCATTTCAGTTGCAAGGGATTCTTAAAAGGCCATCTGCGAAACAGGGACACCTACAGCTACATCAGGGTGCTCAGAGCCCCATCCAGCCTGACTTTGAGTGTCTCCACCACATCTCTGGGCAACCTATTCCACTGCTTTACAGCTACTATTACAAATTGTCTTCTTTGAGTATAGGAAGCAGGCAAGAATTTATGCCCTATCTAACAACTATTACTTCACAGTCATTTCAGTTGTAAGAATAAGAGAGATAGTAATGCGAACTAGGAAAATGTTAGCAAGTGTTGCACAGTGCAGTTTCAGGTGTGTCGATGCTCATTTATAAGTCTGGATGGAAACCTGCCAGCATGCTCAAATGAAGGAGGGGGAGCAATTTACAACAGAGACAGAGGAATCTGTTTTGTGTGTTTGGATTTTGACAGGAAAAGCATTCTTTCCTTCAAATTAGCATTCCAAGACGAGATTTAAGCAGTTTGCAAAAAAGCTAAAAATCACCCAGAACAACCAGAAATTAGATTTGATTTGAACAAAATGCTTTCTTTTATCCCACAATCCATTTTTTGCTGCTTGTTTTTATTTTTTTTTTCAAATTTTAATTTTTTAACAGCTTATGCAGGGAAAAAAAAAAAGATTCAAGTCAGAAAGAGATGCAGTATTTTTACTTCATTTATTTTTCTTCAGTCTTGCAGCAGAAAACTCAGTTACTTGTGCATTTTTCTTTACTTCATGCCTGCCTCACAGTGACAACTTCACCCTCTAAGAACCTTGTAGGATTGTTGCCACTTCCTGTGGATGGTGGTGACTGTGTCAAAACTGCATGGAGAACACTGCACAGAGAGCTTCCACATGAAGCTCCCAAAAGAATGAGGGAAGCTGGCATTACCATGTCATATGGCCATCATATTGTGTACTCTTTGCAATGTACTCACAGGCAAGATGGAAAAAGTGTCTCAGCTCTGTTGTGGGGGCTTGTAGCTGCTGCTTCTGAGTGACACTGAAGAAAGAAGTCTGGAAATAAGTGGTGGTGCCAGGATATAGGTCATTAGTTCCTCAACCAGACACACTCTCCAAAGATGTGTCAGGAAATTTGAGTGCTTGAAATGAGTTTGTGACCCAAGACTTGGTAAATGTTGAGTATTAATGTGCCTTTTCTCAGGCCTTTCTTCAATTTTGGGGTTTTTATTTGGTCAAACAAGAATTCTTCAACGTTGTTTTTAGAACTGGTGATCAGTGTAAGATAAAAGGAAAGGAGTCTATTAATGATCAGCCCACGTTGTTTTTGCAGACAGGTAGGAGCAGTGATAACTTGCTGTTCAGTAGAAGAGCCTTGTTCCAAGAAAAGGAACACTCTTGGGCTTGCCTTTGTAGCAACTGAGCAATTATTTTTGAATAGGCCAGTTTGCAAAGATGCATCCAAGAGAAAAGGTAAACATCAACTGTGAGTAGCAGGTTTTTTTGAGTAAAAGCACTTGCACTTCTGCAATTTTCTGTAAGGTTTACAAAAACATTGTTTGTCATGATACACGTTAAGCTTCAGGGACAAATTGCAGGAAAATCTTGAAGTTGATTTCTTTACATAAGGGAATTTGATGGAGCTATTCTTTAATGTGCTGGGTACCAACAGAGGAGGTAAAAAATTAGCCTCTATGCTGACACGTGGCTTTCTTCAGCTGCTTCGGAAAACAGGCAGCTATAAGGATACGATCTGGTTTCTATGGCATTTGCTTTGTGTGTAATAAGGAAGAAATAATTCAGTTTTTGAATATATGTTATCATTGCTCTATTGGGAAGAACACCACATTATCTCCTCTATTTGTCTTATCTATGTCATCATATGGTTTAATTCTCCGAAGATGAGCATATGAACATCTTCAGTTAGATCTCATTAAATCAGATGGGCTGTTGCTGTCAAATTGATGGAAGTAAGTTATTCATTTATAACTGAGCTAATTGATTTACTGAGAGGTAGAAGCTCTGCCTGCAGTATTTCCCTAGAATCCTGTTTTTATAATAAGCACCAGAAATTGAGAGAGGAAGATAGATATCTGATTTCTGACTGTTAGAAGATGAAACAATTGGAAATTTCATGTGAAGAACACAGTAGAGTTGGTCATTGAGCCTGACAAAGAAGTGGGAGCTTCATTTAAATGTCATCCTGTGTAACTTCTCTTTATGCCTGACATATTCCCCATGGATATGCATTCCAGATCAGAGTAGTATATAATGAAGAGGATCAGAAAGTTGCAATAGTACTTCTGTGGTGAATTGCTTATAGAAAGGCCATAGGACCAGTTGCCCTACCCCGAGTCCTTGTGGCACAAGAAGGGAAAGGTGCAGAAGGATAGGAGAGCAATACAGAGCCAGTAAAAAAGTGATAAGCCTTGAATTAAAAAAAAAAAAAAAGAAAAAAAAGAACTTCCCAAATAATTATGCAGTGAATTCCACTACAGATGATTCATTAATTTAATGACTCAATTAGGCAATAAAAATCTTTTAGTAGGAAATACAGCCAAACAGCATACTTGGTTTTTCCTTCCGACAGGCCTTTGTTTGAAGCCTTAAGCCTTTTGTTCCTGAGTTAGTATGCTTTTAAGCTAAGAATCACTAGGCTTATTACAGAAGTAGCAGCCATTGTGATGAGGAGTACATCTCCTGTGTGCAAGTGGTAAGTGTTAAGCTAGTGCCTAATTAATAAATCCATGTAATGGGAATTGACAGTATTTTTTCTCCTGTTCATCTGGGCTGCGTCATCTATTTTTGTTCCTTTTGCAATGAACTTTTTCTGTGTGGGAGTTGTAACAGAAATCACCTATTCTCCCTATCAAATAATCTTCTGGAATCAGAATCAACTCTTTCTTGACAGGAGAGTCTATACACACGTTTCCTTCCTGAGAGCATTGCTTTGCACGGAACTGACTCAGTTACACCTGTGAGGCTGAGAAGACTAGATTAATGTCAGACTAAGTGCTAAGGGTCAACCTTTTATCCTGCTTTCTCCATTGCAGATGAAGTCAGGAGAGATGGCTGCCAATATTGCCCGAGAGCTTGCAGAGCACACCAGAAACCACTTATATGCTGGTGACATCACGTACTCTGTGTCTGCCATGGTTCAGCTGGTGAACCTGCTTGATGTGCAGCTCCGAAACCTGACGCCAGGTGGGAAGGACAGTGCTGCACGCAGCTTGAATAAGGTAAGAACAAAGGTCCTGGGGAAGGGACGAGAGGCTGGAGAAAGGTTTGGCTGACCCTGGAGAGCTGTTAGAAATCTCTTTCTGAACAGGTGCCATTTGAAGGCAGTGATTTCTTTCTTAGTAGACAAAAGTACCTGGCAGTTTTTGTTTACAGTGTATTTTATTCTGTTGAAAAATGAAACAGTTGTAAATGCCGAGTGTTCTGTTGGTGCTGGGAAATGTATACCCTTAGATGTGTAGATGGATAAATTCCAGGTACTTTGTCATGGTCTCAGCGCTCATAGTTCAGTATGAGAATAAGTCAAGTGATACCATGGCAATTATTGTGGATTTGTGCCAGTGTGACTGAAACCAGAATTTTATGTAGCGTTTCCAATACTGAATCTGTCTGAGTAATATAAAACAGAAAATTTGAATTTTTAAAACTCAAAAATGCAGAGTCTGATTTTTGATTTTTCATTGTGTAACATCAAAAAATGCTGAATGTGAAGTTCAAATGGGCACTACTATGCATAAACATAAACAAATAAAAGCAAGCAAAAATTTATTTACATTTGAGATACATTTATCAAAGAAACATAGGATGTCAGCATATTTACATCTGAGGTGCTGAAGACAACTTGGTATTAGAGGGCCTTTGAAATTATTACCTATCATGTAGCCCAGAAATACTTTTCTACATGATGACTCTGTGGTTTCTTTGCCCTCTGCCAGAGTTAAGTGTACTTGCTACATATTAAAGGCGCTAGAAGTTGCCAGTCGTGGGAGAAAATACAGGCTGTGGAGTCTGCAGGAATATATTTAAATGTAGGGTTTCCTTGGTCCAGGGCCCTCTTCGTCGCAGAATCTCATGTAAACACATGGGATAAGACTTACTTGAAATTCAGGCAGTGCACTGTGCAGGCCTGTCATCAGAACAGCGACCAACTGAACCTTGTGGCTACCAGCATACGGCTTTATTGGCCACCTACTTAAAAAAAGATCCCAGATTTTGCTGTTAGCAATGTAGCTGGCTCTGACAGTCCTGGCATCCATGTAAGTGTAAAGAGAATTTGATTGTGAGGTTATACAGGGAAAAAACAATCCCAGCTAAGCTTGAAATTTCTTCCGTGTCTTCAAAAGAGACATATTTTTCAGAGAAGTAACATTGTCTTTTTGTTGTAAGATATTACTGTTGACATATTCTCTTTTAAGTGTGAAGGGCTTCAGGATTGTTTAAGATTACAGCTGCGTGGGAACTGAAGTCGTCCTGCATATCATGTGCTTTGCATGTGCTGTGAATTGGGTTATCCCGATGCTTGTAATTAATGCTGCTTCCAGCTATTTTATAACCGTGTCAGAAATAATTGTATTAACTGTTACATCAGCATAACATTTCTGTTATAATCAAACCATGGTTTTGTTTGAAATTATTGTGATATCTGCCAATATCAGGTAAAACCAGCAATTAATGTCACATACTAACAGGTTTCATGAATGTAGTCTGCTTGCTCTTCTGAATATGCCCTAGCCACACCCAACATTTTGTCACTTCAGCTTTGCAAGCACATATTTTTCGTCTTTTAAATCCCACCTCCTGCTGTTCACTCCGATGATACAAAATGGGGCTGTGTCTTAGTGACGGGTGAGAGTAACCAAGGGGACTGACAGGTTCGGTGAGGCAGAGCCACTCAGCTCTGCTGTCACTCCTGTGGTTCCCTTTGCAGGTTTTTCATCCACCATCAGCTTTGCACAAGCAGCTTATACAAATCAATTGCACTCCACATTAAAATTCTGGACCGTGTGGAGTCCTGCAAAACAGCGACGCGAATCAGTGATCCAAATGGCAGGTTTGGTAATTTACTTGCTCTCATTCTCCACTTAATTCTTTCGAAGAGCAACTGTTCTGTGTTCATTTAAGAATGCATGAATTTGGCTTAGAAGTAGTATTGGGCAAACAAAAGGCAGCAGAGTTACTGCTCCTTTTTCCCCTTCGCTGATCAAGAGTATTTCCAAAAAAAAAAAAAAAGGGAAAAAGACATTTGCAAGGAATTTTAGTTAGTGTTGTTTGGTCAGAAAGGAGAAATAAAGTGAGAACTAGCCATTAAATATTCTTTCAATCATTAAAGGAAATGTGCTGGGGATTTGCCTTCATGCTCCATATGAAAGTAGTCACCTGTGCTCTTTTGCTTTTGTCTTTTTTTTTTTTTTTTTTTTTTTTTTTGTACAAGCTGATGTACAATGAATTGAAATAAACTGGCATAATCAGTTTTTAAAAGCCATCATCTTTCAGGAGTCACTTTCTTGTCACTAAAAGCTTCATGCTTTCCACTGGATCAGGCTTAATTAAGGTAATAATTGTTGTATAGCAGACTGGTGAGACCCCCAAGTGGATAGCTCTGTAATTTCCAGCGTGGCTTTCTTTGATCTCCATTTGTCTGTAAAGTCTTCATAGGGCCACGTTTACCCAGGGGAAGATTTCTACTGTTACAAATTGATGAATTAGAAATTGAAATTAGGCATTGCACAATACCTCAGTGTATTTTGTTTGTTTCGGAGCCTCAGAACTCTCAGGGACAAATCTGGCTCTCAGCTGTTCTAATGGGATGGCACTGCCATGAGTTGAGAGCACAAGTCACCCCTTAATCTCCCTGGAGATTCGCCATCTCCATTTTCAACCCAGGCAGATCTGCAAAACACAACCCAGCAAAAACAGTGGCTTTGAGCAGCCAGACTTTAGTTGCACTGTTGCAGAGCAGTCTCATGTTTGCTCATTGTTGCAGACAGCCTGCTAAGTTCCATCGAGATAAATAAGTGCCTGTTTGAATTTCACAACACACTGAAGTGCAGTTATCTGGTAGGAGGCATGCAAGTACATATGAAAGTATGGTCTTAAATGTGGCTCTTATTATAAAGGTGGGATTCTTTATGGAAAAGCTATTCAGCATATGAAGTGTTTAGGCCCAGTGCTTACAAAGGAAAGGACAACTCAATGTGAAAGAGAATTGGAAAGGTTAGCCCTTAAGAAACAGTTTAATCTAAAGAGGAGAAAATGGCCTCAACTGGGAATATTAAATCTGATCCACATTTCATTCTTTTGCAACCTCTTAGGTGGCCCTTTATGCATTCAGAATCTCTGGGCAATGCACTCTCCTGCAGTTCTAGGCATGACCACAAAGCTGGGCCGTGAGAGGCTCTGCCTGGAACCAGGGAATTGTGCAGGCATGTCAGGATGAGTCCCCACCACTACCCTGCATACAGCTTGCTCCGTGCTTGTCCAAAGCCTGCTGCAGCTCAACATGCCATCAGCACTCTCCAAATGCACAGAGCCCACACCTCTCTCATATAAGTAACAGTTAGCTCATCTTTTCAAGCCTTGTTTGACATGGGAATATCATGTGCTTTCCAAGGAAAGGTGGTCTCTCGAGTACTTCCACCTTACTTCTCCCACTGTCTAACAGCTGCTCTTGCAAAGTTGCATGTGTGGGCTTTACTGGAAAAGGACTAACCTGTATTTCTGGATCCCATCCTTCCTGCCTTTCACTGCTGCCTAACTCACATATTTCCTTTGGTTTGGTTTGGTTTTAGGAGCTGTTTAAAAGAGAAACAAGGTTTTTACGTAGGCATTTTCTTCAATTTTTCCCCTTGTTCTGTCACTAACTTGTTTTTTCTATTCCGTCTTTAATCTGCTGTCTTTATGAACTCAGCTTCAGAAAAGGGAGCGCTCTTGCAGGGCCTATGTCCAGGTATTTCTTGTGTTTTTAATACACGTCCAGTTGTTTGACTGAATGACTGTGAAGTGGTTCTTGTCTGTCAATCTGATTTTTACTGTCTTTGTGGCAGCAAGCTTTAAGGTTAAGGTTACAGGATAATATGACTTCCAGTTATTCATTTTCCCTCCACACTTGCCCTTAACAAAAATCTTGGGAGGAAAAAAAAAAAAAAAAAGTGGGAGAAAATAAAAAGAACTCTGATAAAACCTGTTCAGCCATTGCAGTAAGCAGAACTATATGGATGCATAAAGAATGCTGAAGTCCTGCTCGCAAAGATGTTTCCAAACCAGTTGGGTTTCACTTGCAACATGTTACTCAAATAATGGCTGTGTGCATATTCTTGCTTTTCCTTCTTCTCCTCTTACATTTGCAAATTTAGAAACAATTCAAAATTGCGGCTCTTGGCATAAGGGAGGAGGTAGAATCATAATGAAATTCAGTGTCCTTACAGAGAGATGTAAGAAGGAGGAGAGTGCTGAAAACTAAATATAGGATTAGGAACATAACGTCCCATAAAGTTCACCCAGCTGCAGCCTGAATTTTGCAGGCTTGCATTGTGTTTTACATGAACAAAGTCAAGACCCAGTGTCTTGGAAAGACTGCTTCTAGTCCTTACAAGAGTGAGGTCTTGGCTTATGACATTATTTATCCTGTCACCTAGGCTTTTATAGCATTTGCTCCAGTGACTTTTATATAAAGCTGTTTGTATACTACGGGTGAGTTAATACTGCTTTAAGAAATGTGAATGTTTTACCCCCTAATTTCTGTCTTGTGCTTATGGACTTCAGTGTTGTACTTATGGATGGTTGGTCATTATTCATATGTGTGTGCAAAACAAGTGTGAAAGTGAAACCCACATTTCTGGAAGGGACTGCCTATGCCTGCTCTATTTCTGCAAAGTCAAGCTTCCTAGCCATATTGACTTTATTTTGTGAGTACATGCTTCATTTGGCGTGTGGGATTAGGTGGTTTAGATTTCTAGGGCGTTAAATATAACAGTGCACCTCTGTGCTGTTAGCCTGTCTGTATTTCCTTTGGATATGGTTGTGCCAGAAAGCCATCTTTCATATATTTCCTTCCTTATACATTAATGGATAAAGACGAGTTGTGGAATTATACATTTGTGGCTGGTCTAGCCTTTCTTAAGATCCCAGAGAAGGCAACTAGAATTTGAAGGAATGTTTGCAATGCATTACTTACTCTCCAGCTAGCTGTCTTGTCCACTGGTGAGAGTGTAAATGTGATTAGGCTGGCTTGACCATGGTTCATACAGCCCTGTCGGGGATCTTGGGTACTGCTCAATCTGTAGTTGTCCTTTCCCTGGCTGCACGGGAACATTCTACAGACTTAATGCATGCTCCTGGTCTTTTTGTCTTCTTTCAAACATTAGTGTATAATGGACATAATATACTCCACAAAAGTTTGGCATTGATATGTGCACAAACTTAAACTTACCCTTAATTTCAAGGACTCCTTGCCTTTCACTTGGAAAGGCTACTGGTGTGTTTAAACATTAATCATTTGCCTACTACTTTAGTAGACAAAAGCTGATGAAAGCTCATTGCCTGAGCTGTTTAGTATAAATATGGACAAAGCTGGTAAATGTATTGAAAAGGACAGTCTGGTAATGGAGGACTTGAAGAATGAATTGGATGACCTAATTGAACCTTTTGACTCTACTTTGTATTATATGGGGGTAAAATAATGTATCTAGACATATTTTCATACAGTATGTTTCCATTTGCAAACCATGTAGCTAAAGTCACAAAAAAATCTTGTGGGAGAGAGTTCGTCTGTAATAACAACTGAATGTGACTGCACAGATTCCTGTTATATGCCACTTATGCTTCACAGGCAGGGAAATGTCTGAACTGTCAAAATAATTTAAATGGAGAAGTCCTGGACTTTTTGAAGTTAATGGGAGGTGGGAAGTCCCTAGAAATATGTTACCAGTGACATAGAGATCGAGTTTTCAGCCTTTTTGCCGTGATCTCCTTGTGCTAATCCCTTTGTCATGAAGAGTGTCGATGACTGAAACCAACACACGGGGCTGTTGTATGTGTTGAAGTGTAGCTTCAGTCCTCATTAGACAAAGGAAAACACAGTGCAAAGTTTATATGAGAGATGCCCACTAACTGTAAAAATCAGAAGTACAACTGAAAAAAGGTGTATTTGAGAAAAGAGAGGGGAACTTGAGAAGATAATTACTAGTATCTATCTTAATGGTTTATTGGGGCTGACAAACTTGTGCCAGTTGAGTTGTAAAGCCCTCTTAAGCCCATAGTAAATTAATAATTTAAATAAACTGGTAATCTTGTGAGTTAGTCAAAGATTAGACTGTGAGAATGCAGTATCAGATTGTCACCTTATCTTTCTTGGTAATACCATATTTTAAACAAATAATCAATTAGATTTGTCTGTACAGTGCTTCAATATTTCTTGAGTTGTAAGCTCAGCATTTTTTTTTTTACTGAAGACAGAGCTTACAGAAGCCTCTCCGTTAGTGGAAAATGTGGTAAATGCTGTTTTTTCTCTCAAAAAAATAATACCCAATCTAATGGGTGATGTAATAATGCATGTTAATAGAATGACAGGACAGCTGCTTGGGGATTTGCCCATCTCAGTGACATTTAAAACACTTCCAGAGGAGCTTTAACTTGCAATAGTAAGAGACTCCTAGAGAAGGTGATATTGCTGAGGTGGATGTCCAGTATGCATGGAGCGAGCTTGGAAAGGTATTCTGTTGGCTAAGGAGCGTTAGGCCAGGTGTCTGACTTTTCGGTGGCTGAGAATGATCTGTGCACAGATTCCTCTTGAAACTGTGTCTCCCTGCATGATCAAGCCCACCTTTATGCAACACACTGTTCTTGGCACTCTATTTTGGGAAAGGAATGACAAAATCATTGTGCAAGAGAGTGAGTCACAACAGATGACACATTTGATGGCTGTATCCTCATTTGATGACTGGTGTGTGACATAAACTCTGAATTTCTTTCAGAGTTGGTGTTTGTTCATTTTTACAAAGATCTTTCTCCTTACATTGAGGCTTTGGAGTAGTAGAAAACACTCAGCGTTTGTCTTTTGAGGACTATGAAATTGGAATTGGTGTCAGAGATTTCTTCCACGCTCATCAGCAAGTGACACAAATGTGCTGTTTCTCAGTTTCTCATCCTACAAAGCTGTGGGCACATTCACAGAATTGCAGAATTGTAAGGGCTGGAAGGGACCTCCAAAGGTCATCAAGTCCAGTCTCCCTGCAAAGCAGGCTCCCTACAACAGGTTGCATAGGTTGGCATCCAGGTGGGTCTTGAATATCTCCAGAGAAGGAGAATCCACACTCTATGGGGTGAATCAACCTCCCTGGGCAGTCTGTTCTAGTGCTCTGTTACCCTTACCATGAAAAAGTTCCTTCACATATTGGTGCAGAACTTCCTGTGCTCAAGTTAATAGCTGTTTCTCTTTGTCCCATCCCTACAGACAGCTGAAAAGAGGTTGGCCATGTCCTATTGACTTCCACACTTAAGATATTTATAAACATTAATAAGATCCCCTCTCAGTCTTCTTTTCTCAGGGCTGAACAGTTCACTCAGCCTTTCCTCACAGGGGAGATGTTCCAGGCCCTTTATCATCTTAGTGGCCCTCTGCTGGACTTTCTCCCTATCTTTTTTGTACTGACGAGCCCAGAACTGGATACACTCCGGGCCTGACCAGGGCAGAGTAAAGGAGGAGGATCACCTCCCTTGGCCTGCTGGCCATGCTCCTTTTAATGTACCCCAGGATCCCATTGGCTTTCTTGGCTACCAGGAAACACTTATGGCTCATGGCCAACCTGTCATCCACCAAGATCTCCTGGGTCCTTCTCCACAGAGCTCCTCTCCAGCAGGTCATACCCCAACCTATACTCATGGTTATTCCTTCCCAAGTGCAAGACTCTACACTTGCTCTTGTTAAACTTCATCTGATTTATTGCTGCTCATCTCTCCAGTCTGTCCAGGTCTTGATGAATGGCAGCACAGCCTTCAGGTGTGTCAGCCAATCCTCCCAGCTTTGTATCATCAGCATTCTTACTGAGGGTAGACACTATCTCCTCATCAAGGTCATTGATGAAGATATTGAACAAGACTGGACCCAGCAGCAACCCCTGGGGAGCACCACTAGTTACAGGTCTCCAACCAGACTCTGCCCCACTGATCACAACCCTCTGAACTCAGCTAGTCAGCCAGTTCTCAACAGACCTCACTGTCCAGTCATCTGTCTCACGTTTTCTCAGCTTCATTGTCAGGATGTCATGGGAGACAGTATCAAAAGCCTTGCTGAGGTCAAGGTAGATGACATCCACTGCTCTCTCCCATCTACACATCTGGTGATGCCGTCATAGAAGGCTGTGAGGTTGGTCAAGCGGAATTTTCCCTTGGTGAATCCATGCTGACTATTCCTGATGACCTTCTTCTCTTCCATTTGCTCAGAGAAGGCATCTAGAACAAGCTGTTCCATCACCTTTCCAGGGACAGATGTGAGGCTGCCTGGCCTGTAGTTTCCCAGATCAAATCAATTCCCCTGGCTTCTGGATACACAGGAAGGATAGTAAAGAAAAGAAAAATATGAACACTTAGTACAGTAAATGAGGCCCTATTAATGTGGGAAAAAAAATAGAAGTTTGCTGTAAGATTTAGTAGGTGGAAACAAGAGCTTAATAAAGGCTCATACCACAGAGACCAACCACGTGGAGTCCTCTCAAGCACAGATGTGCACTTGATTGCAGTCTGAGCTCACCTACTTGGTTTTCTTGGATATTTGGGCTGGAGCTTGGGGACATCATGAAACTGATGTCTTTCTCTGCAGTGCCAACCAGCAACCCCTTCCTGCACATAACTGTGTGCTGCATTTGAGAGACATTGCAGAAGTCAAAAACTTCCCAGGAGGTTCCCATTCTTCTTCTTTTTGGTAGAGGTACCACCTGATCCAGAAAGACC